GGGGTGTGGGAGACAGACAGAGAGAGAGAGAGAGAGAGAGAGAGGGAGGGAGGGGAGGGAGAGAGAGAGAAAATGTGTGCATGTGTGGTGCCTGTGGGTGGGGAAGTAGACTTAGCTTATACTGGGGCTCCAGGAGGGAATCCTGGGTGTCAGAAAGTGTGACTCTGTCTCACAGGCTCACCATCCTGAGTGGGGGTGGTTTCCCTGGGCTGGTGACACCAGCCCCCCGCCCCCCAGCCCTGGGCTGCTGCTGTGGGGAGGCTGGGCTCTGGGGCTGTGTGACACCAGCTCCCCTGGGCCAGCCGTTGTCTTCCCCTGACTCACAGGTGGCCAGAGGGGCAGCCCTGTTTAGGGCCACTCTGAGGAGGGAAGTTTGGATAACCACTTTCCCACTGGTGTTTGTTCTACACCTCTCCCCAAAGTCTGGAATGCCCTGCACGGAGACACATCTGAGCCCCCAACAGATGTGGGGGCTCACAGCGTGGGCTGGGTAGCCAGGCTTGCCTGGGCTCTATATCAGCAACGTGACTTTGAACAAGATACTTAACGTAAGCCCTGAGCCGCATTCCCTATCTGTAAAATGGAGATAATACCTACCTCCCAGAGTTGTCGTCAGGATGAAATGAGGAAGGGATGCAAAATGCCAAGCACATAATTAGTATTCAATAAATGGCCGCTGGTATAATTATTTATTATGAGCTCGACACTGGTCCCACCTAGTAAGACTTTCCAGCCCTCCTCTCCCCCCAGTTTCCTAAGGCACCGATGGGGATGCGTTGGCATACAGTGCCTTGTGTTGTTACTTAACTAGTTTGTGCCCAAACCAGAGCACGTTCCTTGCATTTCTTCTGTGCCCTCTCCTGCACCCCAGCACCCAAGACAGAGCCAGGCCCATCAGCGGAGCTCAGGGATGGAGAATGGAATGGAATTAAGAGAAAGGGAGAGACGCAAGGAGGGAGGGGTCAGAAAAAGACTGAGAAAGGGGAAGGAGGTGGCATTGTCCAGGCATGAGTGGCACGGCTCTCCTGAAGCACACAACAAAGAAAGGACTGCCCAGAGAGGCCACCAGTGGGGGCCCGCGAGTCTTTTGCACTCCCTGGATCCTTTTTATTTTTCCTCAAAATCAGGTAAGTAGAGTCTCCCCCTCCTCCCCCTCTCATCCCAAGGAAGATATTGTTTCCCAACTAGGCTAATGTTCACCACTCAGTCTATCAACTGACTCTAAAAACTCGACTTCTGCCCCCTCCCTATCCTGGATCTGCTCACCTATAAAACTAGGAAGTTCCACTAAATGATCTCTAAAGTCCTTTCTTCCCTCTAATATTCTCTTATTTGCCCTTATTCCCCTGCCTACTCACTTATCCAAGCATCTTAAGCTATTGATCATCAAGCCTCCTTTTTTTAAAAAATTCCTTTTTAAGAAAACTTATAAATGTCCACTAGGCTCTAAAACTCGGTGAAGGACTTTCTTGATCTCTGCTTATCCCTAATACATAAGCTCAGTAAATATTTGCTGGATAACTGGATGGATGGATGACATCCTTTTTTTAAAAAATTCCTTTTTAAGAAAACTTATAAATGTCCACTAGGCTCTAAAACTCTGTGAAGGACTTTCTTGATCTCTGCTTATCCCTAATACATAAGCTCAGTAAATATTTGCTGGATAACTGGATGGATGGATGACAGAACGGCCACTGTACACCTGTGTGTGGTTATGAAATGCAGGAAAACATGTTAGTAGTTGGTTGACCCAAGAAAATCATGGTCATCCCGACAGTAGCCCCTGTTTAGTTTAGACATTTGCAAGTGTATCGTGAAATGAAAACTACTGAAAAATACTAGGATCACCATCTTCATTTTTATCTATTGCCAGTCACTTACGTAATCTACTGTCATCTTGCTCAGTTATTCTAATTTGAGGTGAGCTGCCCTCTGTCTAGGGGGTGTGATTTTTTAGTTATCCACATAATCAGAAATATCCAGTGACAAGAGGGAAGGAGGGGAAGGCAGACATTACAACTGCCTCCAGAGCCATGACAGGGGTCCCCAAGCCCCCTTCGGGAGAAGAGAGAAGACTCGTCCAGCCTCAACTATGACAGTTACCATTTTCTGTGCACTTACTGTGTGCCAGACTCTTTGGCCACAGTAGCTCAATTAATACCCCCAACAACCCCGAGAGGAAGGTAATACTATTATTATAACCTCGCCTTACAGGTGGGAACTGAGGCTCAGAGAGGTTAAATAACTTGGCACAGGTTATACAGACAGTAATGAGTATATCAAGGACTTGAACCAGCTCCAGAGTCTGAGCACTTGACCCCACTCCTCCCAGCCCAGGGACCACACTGACCGCTTCAGAGACCAAAGCTGGAAACCCCTGCAAAGGTTTTAAGGCTGCCTCCAGGATCCCAGCTCTCCTATCCCCACCTCCACATAGTTTTGCTTTTTTCTTAGTTATGGGACATTTTCAACCTGGCAAAATGGATTTAGAACCAAGACAAGAGAGGTGAGAAATTCCAAAAGTCTTGTGATCTTTGTAGTTTGTCCTTCCTGTTAACTAACCTTGTCCCCATTGTGTCACTTCATGGGTCTGGGGGCTGCCACACAGCTCTGTTCTGTCAGTGTGTCTGGGGGCCTTCTGTCTCTGTCACTGATAGATAATGTACCAACAACAGGTGATCACAGTTCCTTCTGAAGAGGCTGTTCTAGATGAGTGTAGGCTACACAGTTGTGATCCTGGGGACTTTAGATGAGGGCATGTGGACTTTACCACATACTCAAGTGTTTGTTTCCCTTCAGTCATCGTGCTGGGAAGCCATGTACTTAATCCAACAATTCTCCTGAGAACATCTTTGGGGCCTCTTCTTTGCTCTCAGATACTGTTTAAAATCCGCCTTATTACTTTATAGTGACTCTGTATCTTTGATTACAAACAATACCATGCCATTTGATCATTCATTTACTTCCTCACCAGACTTGGCTCCCAATGACTTTTGACCATTTCCAAAATATCAGACATATCCTATAAGGATGAAAATTTGCCTGCACCAAGGTTAATCAGAAGCATCTCTCACTGCCTCAGGCAGCCCTATACGAAGAATTTGAAGGATGTGTGGGCTGTGGTGGGAGGAGGAATGAGCCCACAGCCCCCTGACGTGACTACACGGAGGGCCAGCAGGCATTTGGATGTGTGAGTTCTGAGCTTTATTTTTAAGACAGTCATTGCTTTGTAGGCACACTTAGCACAGTGGAATGTAATCCAATGGCTGGACCAAATCCAATGGATCAGCCAACCCCAGCTGAAGAGAGAGGTTGAGGAGTTGCAGAGGCTTTTCTGGAAAATGGCCACTGTGGGTGCAGGCCCCAACTGGAGACAGGACCGAGGCGAGGCATGCATCTTCTTAGCTGCCTGCCTCCCCTGGGAACTGGGTGGTCCTGTCTTGGCTTCCGGCACTGAACTAGGAAGAGGTGAGGTGGTGATGTCACCATGTGTGCATGCCTCGGCTGAGGCGAGGCATCAGGTCCTTCTGGTACTGTTCATCACACTCCACATGCCTCCTTCCAGATCCACCGTGACTGGGACCTCCTGTTATCTGTCTCCCGATCCCCCTTCCAGAAGCACCCACTCATCTCCTCCTCAGGGTCTTAGGCTCTAGGTCTCAGGTTTGGCTCAGGTAGGCCACTGAGGAGCAGCAGCAGAAGAGGAAAGAAAGAAGAGGCAGAGACGAGGAGGGGATCGAGCAGGCAGCGGAGGCAGAGGTGTAGGCGGGAGTGAGGATGGGGGAGGGAGGGAGGACAGGCCTGGACGTTCACAGTCCTTTCCTCCCACAGCTAAGCCCTACCTTTTCCAAGTGGCAATGTCAGAAGGGGAGAGCAAGGACAGCTCAGGCAGCGAGTGCCCCGTGTGCTATGAAAAGTTCCGGGACTTGGAGGGCGCCAGCCGGATGCTGAGCTGTGGCCACGTGTTCTGCCATGACTGCCTGGTCAAGTACCTGCTGTCCACCCGAGTGGATGGGCAGGTCCAGAGGACCATCGTCTGCCCCATCTGCCGCTACGTCACCTTCCTCAGCAAGAAGAGCTCCCGCTGGCCCTCCATGCTTGACAAGAGCTCCCAGACTCTGGCTGTGCCCGTGGGCCTGCCCTCCGTGCCACCATCAGACAGTCTGGGCCACACAAACCCCCTGGCCATCTCCCAGCCTGTCTGGAGACCATCTCTGAGCCAGGCACGGCTTCCGGGAAGCCCGAGTCAGAATGCCCAGCTCCCCTTGGACCTGCTGCCCAGCCTGCCCCGGGAGTCGCAGATCTTCATCATCAGTCGCCATGGGATGCCCCTGGGGGAGCAGGACAGCGTCCTGCCACGGCGCAGCCTGGCAGAGCTCTCAGAGGCATCCCCGGCACCCAGCTCCAGCCGCTCATTCTGCTGCCGGTCACGGGCCCTCCTGCTCATCACCCTCATTGCTGTGGTGGCCGTGGTGGCCGCCATCTTGCCCTGGGTGCTGCTGGTGAGGAAGCAGGGATGAGTGGTGGCACCTGGAGGGGCCACTGAGCCAAGCCTGGCTTAAGAGCTACTCTGGGAGCTGCCCCGCCCCATAGCCCTGCCGGACATGGCTTGGGAGGGGGCCCAGGGCCCTGGTGCAGACCTGATCCAACTAAGCTCTGAGGAGTGGGCAGGTAGGCAGGACAGGGGAGGACCTGGGCAGAGAGAGGATGTTGGGGTGGGGCTGGATTGGAAGTATGATGGCTTTCTCCCCACCTTCAGCTCCCAGTCCCAGCAGGGACTTAGGCACGACAGGGAGGGCGGGGGCTGGCCACCTCTGAGACTAGAGCTGAGCTGAGAAGCTGACTCCGCACATGTACCCTCAGCAGACACTTCCCCTTCCTCTAGCTGGAACTGAGCAGGCTGGGAAGAAGGGTGGTCACTGCCCTCTATGAGGTGCAGACCTCACCTTCAGGTGTGACCTACCCAAAGCCAGGTGGGCCTCTCCAGGGACAAGGAAGCTCTGCTAGCATACGTCCCACTGGATTGGGGCCCAATGGCCCTAGGACTCCTCCAGGACAGAATTCCTGCCTGGGATTCTCTAGCTGGCCCTCAGGAACAAGCAGAAGGGTTGGTGCAGGAACCAAAGCACAGGTCTCCAAGAGTCTGGGGACTCATCCACAACCCTCGCAGCATCCCGCTCCCAAGTCCTCTCTGCTTCCAACTGCCCAGCCTAGAAGGTCTTTCCTGAGGGAAAAGCTGATCTCAGAGGCTGTGGCCCAGGATTTCTGGGGGAAGTAACAGGAAAGGATCTTTCTGGAGAGCTGAGGCCACATCAGGAAACAGGGGTTTGTTAATGGAGGCTGAGGCCAGCAGAGGGCCCACAAAGAGAGCTAGAGATCTCCCAACCCCTGCAAGCCCAAGGAGTGGTCCAAATTTTGAGTCTTGGGGTTCTCAAGGATGGACTGGGAGGCAGGGAGGGAATGGAGGGGAAGCCGGACAGGTGAGACTTGAGTCAGCAGAGAGCTATGTGGGCAAATTACCCCGGGGGCCCCCGCCTCCCTCCCAGCCTCATGACCCAACCACTCATTAGAAGCTACACCAGCTGGGCCAGTTTCCAAGGTGGATTCCCAGGCTGGGCTGGGTGAGCAGGGTTGGGGAAGAAAACAGCTGAGCTTGTCAGTGTCACTACTGTCTCAGCCAATGCTGAAACCCAGGTGCCGTCAGCTGCTCGCCCAGCCTCTTTACCTGGAGACCACACAGTGGACTCCTTGATGAGGCCACCAGAGGAAGCCTCAGATTGGGTCTTGCCTGAGGAGTGAGTCATTTGGGGATAACTATTGGCTGTTTATTGAAGCCCATAAGTCAACCAACGCCTTAAGATTGAAAACAGCAAAAACCTGCAGCTAGTCTCTCAAACAGGTGGTGGTTTGCACCCCCAGGTGTGCCAACAGCTGAGCCCTCCACACCTATAACCCCTCCAGGCAACTTTTGCTACTGTGGAAAAGAAATAGCACCCTGCCTCTTATCTAGTTCCAAAAGGCCTGGAGTGGTAGTCATTTGGAGGCCATTAGGGAATGAAGTCCACAATACAGGGGATATTTGGGACATACAGAAGGCTGGTTTAAAGCACTTAGTTGCTTCTTTATGATCTTTTCAAGATGAGAGAAGAGCATAGGAGCTATTGGGGGTGGGACACAGGTGAATTCCATGGGAAAAAATATTTATTATAGGAATAAAAATAATGTTAAATTTACAGACTCTAATAAGTCTGTTTTAATCTCAGCCAGGCTGCTTGAAACAGTGCCATGAATTTTGGGGGACCGGATTCTAGTCTTTTCAGATTCTGTTGTGTATACCAAAAGTTTCCTTCAAAACACCTGCAGTGTTTTCATATTTGTTCAACAGTATCTTATAGATGGTGCTTCTTTTATTTGCAAAGATGCCAAAAGCTATTTTTTAAATAAAGGTATATATTTTCTCAAAGATTCCAGAGACTATGCAATGCATGTGGGAAGTTCTGAACTTGAACTTTCAGGATAATTCCCTTTAGATGAAAAAGACAGTTTGAAAATATAAATGCAAATGGCTTTAAACCACACTTGTGAAGGAAATGCAAATCAAAATTCTGCCAGCATACCCTTTTTTCCCTATTAGGTTGTCAAACCCTGAAGTTTCCTAACCCACATTGCTGCTGAGGCTGAGGGAAGCAGGTGAATTCTTGGTGGGAATGTATACTGGTAAAACCCCTCTCAAGGGAAATTTGACAGTGTCTATCAAAATTTCCACTCTGACCCAGCAATTACTGTTCCAGAAACGTATTCTACAGATACACTTGCAGAGATGGGCAGTGTCATACGTACAATGTTACATAACTGCAGTGTTGTTTCTAATAACAAAGGATTAGAAAAACCCTAAATGCTAATCAATAGGGGATTGGTTATTGAACATAAGGTCCGGGGAACATCATGCAGCTATAAAAAGAGCAAGAAAGAACTCTATGAACTGACCTGGAAAGTCTCTAAGACACAGTGGCAAACGGGAAAAGGCAAGGTCTGAGCACTGGCTATTGAACTCTATAATTTGTGAAGACAGAGGGGGATAAGAATTTACTTTCCTGGGGCCGGCCCGGTGGCGCACTGCGCTAGTGCGCTGCTTGGGAAGCGTGGCGGCGCTCCCTCCGAGGGTTCGGATCCCACATACAGACCGGTTCCCGCTCACTGGCTGAGCGAGGCGCGGGGGCAACACCGAGGGTTGCGATCCCGTTGCCGGTCCTGGTCCGGTACAGGGGCAACACTGAGGGTTGCAATCCGTTGCCGGACACAGAAAAAGAAAAAAAAAAAAAAAAAAAAAGAATTTACTTTCCTATTTGCTTATTTATGTAGAAAGAAATTGGGAAGATCTACAAAAAAGTAATTAACTGTGGAAGGGGATGAGAAAATGAGGGAACAGGAAGGAGGGTTTTCACTTTACCTTTTATACTTTTTGATTTTTGTACCAAGTAAATGTATTAGTTATTCGAAAACTGAGTTGAAAAATTATATGAGAAGCTAAAGATATCTTCAGCATACACACTTGTTGCCTGGTGAGGAGACCGCCCCAAGAACCTTCGAGAGCTGCCAAACCACTTGCCCTGTGGCTCAAGAGTGTCAGCTGTGGCTCAGCGGGGCTGGTTTGTCTGGTTGGAGTATGACATCTCTTGCTTCACAAGCACCCAAGAAGGAAGGTAAAAAGTTTGATATTCGCAGCGTTCTTGAGTCCCTGTGGATTGCTCTGGGCCCCATGATTTAATGTGCTTGTTCTGATTCCCCCTTTCCTTTTCATTCTCAAATTAAAATATTTTGCTTTAAGCAAGCATCCTGGGGCCAGGGCACTACAGGAAGATATCATTAGATAGACAGAAAAAGAGATAAGATGGATAGACAGTGGGATGGATGCCTGGGGTTAAATGTAAACCCTGTTGCTCTTCTCTTCCTCCTCTTGTCCAGAGTCACCCTCCCAACCCCCCCACACACACGTTGTCACCTGCCATCATGATAGTAACCTTTAACTCTAATATATACTTACCTAGTCTAGGCCTACCAGGCAGGGATCCACAGCATTGCTGGCTGGATTGTATGGCAGTTCCACCTGTAGTTGTTTGAGGAATCTCCATTCGGTTTTCCATAATGGCTGCACTAATTTACAGTCCCACCAACAGTATAGGAGTGTTCCCATTTCTCTACATCCTTGCTGGCATTTGTTTTCTCTGTCTTTTTGATAATAGCCAGTCTAACTGGGGTGAGATGATATCTCTATGTGGTTTTGATTTGTGTTTCCCTGATGCTGAGTGATGCTGAGCATTTTTCATGTGTCTGTTGGCCATTCGTACATCTTCCTTTGAGAAATGCCTATTCAGCTCCTTTGCCCATACAATCCAGCAATCCCAATGCTGCATATATACCCAAAGGAATGGAAACCATCACGTCAAAGGGATGCCTGTACTTCCATGTTTATTGCAGCTTTATTTACAATAGCCAAGCGTTGGAACCAACCTAAATGTCCATCATCAGATGACTAGATAAGGAAAGTGTGGTATATTTACACAATGGAATACTACTCTGCTATAAAAAGAATGAAATACTAACATTCACAGCAACATGGATGAACTTGGAGAAAATAATGTTAAATGAAACAAGCCAGGCACAGAAAGAGAAATACCACATGTCCTCACTTATAAACGGGAGCTAAAAAAGATAAACACAGCAATCACAATGATACGTTGAACTTTCAAAAGAAAACAACAGAACTGAGGTTACCAGAAGTGGGAAAGGAGGGGTTAAGGAAGGAATTTGTAAAGGGCCATGAAAACTGATTATATTGTATAATATTGACTATACTAATTATCCTGATTTGAACATCACGTATTGCACAAAGGTATTGATATTCAGTGCTGTACCCCACAGATATGTACAATCAACTATGTTCCAATAAAAAATAAAATAAATAGGTTAATCAGGAAAAAAAGAGAGAAATAAAAATATTTCCGCATTAAAAAAAGTAAATAAAAGGATCTTTTTCAAATCAAGTAAAAGGAACGTAGGGAAGAGAGGGGAGAGAGGGCAGTCAGACGAGGTTGCCAGAAGATCATGCAGGGTGAAGCCAAGACACCCAACAGACACTTGTTGAGATAAACAGACTTCAAAATGAGGCTGCCAGTAACTGACATCTGCGTGCAATTTGTACCCGACAAGCTTCACGCTGTCCACGCAGTGGCTGAAGGTTTGATTATAGTGACCAGTGTTGGACAGAGGAAGGGAGGTGAGGAGGCCTGAGAGGGCAGAGAATGGTGGAAGCTAAAGAAATGGAGAGGCCCTTGTGAGAAGAGAGGAAGACGATGTGGAGGCCTGAAGAAGAGGAGGGAGTTAGGGAAACTAGAGAAGTTCTTCTTCCTTAAGACAAGGGGGTGAGGCTGTGAAGACCAGAAGGAAGGCAGGAGGCCTGGGCAGCTCCCCGGGGCTCTCAGCATGAACCAACCTCACTCAGCCAGCCCCTGAGCCCCTG